TCCAAATTAATAAAAAAAAAAGAAATAACTGCTCTAGTCTAATGCTTAAAATTTTAGCATTGTAAACAAAAATATTAGATTTCACATAATTAACAAGGATGAACTATGTATTTATTACCTAAATTATCAGTTTAAGTTTGTTTTGTATTTAAATTTTTTATTTTATTAAATTATATCTAACGTTTAGTTTTTATTTCATTTTAGTACTCGTCATTAAAAACTTAACGCATTTCGTACATAGCTTATCATTTTTTATCCATTTTTTCAATTGTTTCAATACTTAACATTAAATTTTGAACGTTGTACTAAAATGAAACAATAACTAAACTTTAGGTATGATTTTAAAAAATTAAAAATATAGTCACTAAAACATATTAAAACTGATAGTTTATGTATTAAATCCGTAAAAAAAATAAGTAATCTCTCTAATTATTTGGCTTCGGAGATCTGAGTTTATATTTTTCACTTATCAAAATCTGCATCCATTAATCTCCCCACATTCCTTGATATGACTGATGAAAATTCACCACCTGGGTCTCCCAAAGTAAAGCCCAGATCATAGTTCTGAGGCTAACACATTGCCTAAAGATGATAGCTCACTCGTAAACATAGTTAGAAGGTTTCAGGATTCCATGTCCTTAGCAAAGAGACACAAGTTTTTGGGAAACTCAGCCTGTTGGTCAATTTAAGGATGTTGGGGGACACAAGTTTATCCGAAGGCCCGATCGAGCCGCCGACCCCATTGTCTGAAGTCAAACAGGTGCCTTATAACCTTCCGAGTCAGTACCAATGGACGACGTGAGATATGTATTCCGAAGAGACTTGTAATGAGGTTTACATCCTTTCAAAGAACAATTATGTCGAGGATGATGAGAATATGTTTAGGTTCAATTATTCCAAGGAGTTGTGAAGAAGCTTGTTGCCTTTATTACCGGTGTCCCTGCGAGAATAAGGGGGCGTGATGAAGTTGTGAAGATGGCGGAGATCAATTTCTTATGTGTTCATAAGAAGCTGAGATCAAAGAGACTCGCACCGGTGATGATTAAGGAGGTTACTAGGAGAGTGAATTTGGAGAATATTTGGCAAGCGGCTTATACAGCTGGATTTGTTCTTCCAATACCAATTACTACTTGCCAGTACTGGTAGGTCGTTCAACCCCAGGAAGCTTATTGATGTTGGCTTTTCTAGGCTTGGCCCTTGGATGACGATGAGTCGAACCATTGAACTCTACAAGTTGCCTGATCAACCGATCACCCCTGGATTCAGAAAGATGGAGCTTCACGATGTCCCTTCTGTCACTATGTTGCTTAGACAATACTTGAGCCAGTTTGTTGTTTCTCCCGATTTCGACGAGAATGATGTGAGGCATTGGTTTCTTCCTACGGAGGATGTCGTCGACAGTTACTTGGTTAGATGCATGACATAACCGACTTCCGCAGTTTCTACACTCTTCCCTCATCCATTCTTGGCAACCAGGACTACTCGATTTTGAAAGCTGCCTACTCTTACAACAATGTCTCCACCAAGACTCCACTGCTTCAGTTGAAGAACGATGCGCTCGTCGTTGCTAAGAAGAAGGAATTTGATGTTTTCAAAGCACTGGATGTCATGCACAACGAGTCCTTCCTCAGAGAACTGAAATTCGGACCAGGCGATGGAGAACTTCACTACTACCTGTATAATTATAGGATACAAAATGCATTGAGAACAGCCGAGTTAGGTCTTGTACTCTTATAGCTTTGTATGTTTAAACTTCGGTCCATCGGTCTGTTCCGGATTGCATCATATTTCATGTTCCACTGCATCCACAGTCGAGAATCTGGTTTGCAGTGCATGAAAGAGCAGCCTTGATTGTGTTGACAAATATTGTTCTATGGACACCAACAATGTTGAGATTTTGCATGTGGTTTGTTTCTCAGTTTTTACAATGCTATCTCACTGGTTATGGTTATGTGTGTGTGTGTGTCCCAATCATTTATCATGATTAGAAGGAATTTGAATGTATGACAGGGATTCTTACAGGGATGAATGATGATGATGATGGATAGGTGGCTAGATGATGATCCATATACGCTGCATCCTTGAAGGGGTCATTCTAGTCTATCCTGTCAAGAATGGCAAAATATGTAAGAACTGTAACTTTATATGCCCCAAATACATCTGTAATATATCTTGAACCCAACAGCATCACAAGGGCCCCCCATGTCCTAATCCATGAATATGCCAATGTTAATTACTGAATTAAACAAATAATACATGGAGGGGGCAAATTCAGAGAACTTTCAGAAAGAATTGGACGAGTTGTTCCCCTTCCACTCAGTATGGCGATTAGTCGTGACATTTTTTTTAGCTTTTTAGTCCATAAAGCCAAAGAATCTTACAAGCTTTTTAGATGCTTTTCACAGCATTTGGATTAACTTAACCCTATATCAACACCTTCCATTCATGGATTTCATAAGACTAGAACCTTGACCTGCAAGTTACAACTAGATCAGTAGCTTGTTGGTCCTAAAGATTGCACTTATGCCACTAAACATATACGAATTCATCCCGACTCCTCAATAAAATCTCAACTTCGTCTCTAAACACATTCCGATCATTTGAATCGAGTGTAAACTCGAGTCATTAATGGAGGCACAATTGTGACTATATCAAACAACTAAGAAAAGGCAGTATCGCTCGTACCGGGACCGACGCATTGTTTATATGAGCAAATTTGAGATTCTAGCATCAGCATATGCTTGGATAAATTGCTCTCATGAGCATCATATATCTATGTTTATTGAAAGATAATATTAGCAAGAACATAGTCAATGATATCACCTCCTTGCATTTACGTGTTCGAATTTCGTGTTTTATTATGTTAAAAATTATAAAATCTTATACGCTAATACTGGTATTAAAACCCGTACTGTTTGTTTAACATAAAAGCATATCCACTTTATGCTACTTTTTGTTTTGTGCCATTGCAAATCTTTGGATAAGCTTAGACTTTTGTCAAGCTCACATTGGTTGATCCTTTTGTAAAGGGATGGGTTTTTATTCTTCTTCTTCTTCCTCCTCGATTTCTTTGTCTAACAAAGACAGCCATTACTCGAACTATATTCCTTAATCAATGAGCCATTAACATTAACAAAAACAGTCGATCGAGTCTTCGTTCGGTCAGCGCCTATCGTAGATTTTGAATTCGAACATGCTCTAGCACGATACTATACTTGTGGTGTACATTTTTAAGTGTCCAATGATCATCCAAAATCTTATTGTTTGCATTTACCAATGAGGTAATTACCCATAAAAGTGGAATGCATTCTGCTTGAACATTTACACACCATCATCCCTTGCCACAAGGAACGTACTAGTAGTAGAAACAAATGTAATCAGTATCTTATCGTTCTACGTTTCGTCCTAGTATTAGTGTGTATTCATATCCGGACTCCGGTAATCGGTCGGTTGGGAAGATTAAACGAGTCTTCGTTTAGTAAAATTTTAGATTTAAATACTTAATAAATCTTTATTACCTCATGTATGTGATGTCATCTCGTACATCACCATCACTTCCGAAGTTGTTTTCACCTTCTATAAATGCCCTACAACTTCTCATCATTTTCTTTTCACTCAGAAGGAACAAAGGTTTCTCAGCTCCTGCAATATACTAAACGTGCAGCTTTTGTTTAGGATGGAGCTCAAGCGAAACTGTGGTGATAACTGGTCGTTCCAATCGATAAGACGAGGTAATCTACCTGACTAGACCAGTCGTGCTGCAAATACATACATACATGTATAAAGAAAAAGGCAGGTTGGTAATTGTGAGGGGGAAGGAAGGTGACAGAAGAGAGGGAGCACACGGAGTTGTGTCTAGCATGAGAGACTCATGCTTGAAGCTTTATGTGCTTGCTCTCTTCTGTCACGCACCTCTCTCGCTTCCTCCCCTGTACATATGTACAGACTAGTCGTTATAACTATTTGATATCTAATTTATTGATCAACCAATAAGATTTAAGTATCGTAAAAATTTAAGCTTATTTCATTCACAACATTAAAATTTGAATCTTAGACATTATTTACGAGACTTAGTATCTCGTCTTACTATATCGATTGCTAATCTATAAGTTTCTAGAAAAATTATAAAAAAAGGACAATTTTAATAGTCACAGAGAATAGTAAATATAAAGTTGAAATGGCCTGTCGTCAACTCTACCTGCAACAGGTTTTTAGAAGCGCAAACTTCTAAATTTGAACCACAGGACACAAGTAGGCCTACTTCCGGCACGGTGGTTCTCCGCCGAAGAAGACCACCATTGCGGTTTCCTTCAAGGGAGGAAATGGTAGCATATGTGCCTTTTGATGGGCGACAGCGAATTTGAAAGCTGGTCGTTTCGTATCGGTCCACGTCATTCCAGCAATCACCTCTATCCAAGCTCCATGTAACACTGAAGTTGTTTTTGTACAGGAAATATTGCTGAGCTAGTTTTTTAGATGCATATGTAACACTAAAATCTTCAGCAATGTGTAGTACAGGAAGCTGAAGGGTCCTGTGGCACCTAATACTATCCTGAAGTGTGCTCAGACAGAAGAATTAGCTCGAATAGCACTGAAATGTTCAGAACTTAGATGCAGGGAAAGATCTGATCTTGACACTCGGGTTCTACCGGTACTCGAAAGATTTGACGATATTGCACATATGCAAGTTTAAAGTCGTAAAAGAACAATGCATATGTTCCGACACACTTCTGTCCAATCTTTCAAGTTAAAAACTGTCAGCAGAACTGATTCTCGGCTTAAGCACGATTCTGTATATTTAAAACCATCAGCAGCAATGTGAGGGATATCCATCACATTGCTGTCCCTCACATTGCTGCAGATGGCTCTAAATATGAGCACAAGAGCAATAGAGGCATGGCTTAAGAAACACAACAAACTTCCAATTACAAAGCATAAGCTTCAGCATTCCGTGTCAACTCGCACACTACGCTCTGCTATATATGACTGGAAGTCACAGGTGACATTATCTAGTACATTATATTAAGCAGGTTCCATGACATGGTTCGTTTTCGAGGAAGTTGCAACTTACAAGACATTGTTCCAAGATGAAAAAGAAGCAACCATCCATCCATCCATCCCCCGCACCGAAGAAATCAAATAGGAATAGACAGAAAAAAAATGTGGGCACAGGGTGATGTATACAATTAGATTTGCACATAAAATGTGATTTTGCACATCCCTTTTAGTATGCATGAAAGAAGGCAAACTCTAGTATATATATTTTTCTATTCATTAAGCTGTCTTAGAATATAATTCAGAATGTAAATCCTTGGCATTTTCTATTATTATATGCATGATCTGGATCCTGAGAGAAAAAGGGACCTGGGATATTATCTTTGAAGAAATCCAGTTTTGAATGCTAAAACATCTCAGGCGTCAAACTTGTGTGAACTCTAGAGCATTTGCATCTGGATCTCGTGTAAAAATTGCCGGCCTCCCAGATCGGCTAAGAGTGTAGGGAATGCCTGCAATATATAACAATATCACAATAAGATATCCTCCTCCTGTTTGTAACTTACAGAGCTACATGAGAAATCTGCCATTAGAAAGCTAGAAACTAAAAGATGCCATGCAAATTAGCATACAATGAAATATTGCTCGGCATGGATGACCCTGGAATAAGCTTACCAGCTTTGTCAAGGATTGCTTGCAGCTTAGATACATCTCGAATCGAAATACAAGCATGACGGTCACGGCCTCCATGTTCGGGTCTTCCGGTTAAGGGGTCTGGATTCGGAAGTTCCATCAAATGAATCATCTCAGAACCTACCCACAACCAAGCACCTCTATATGGAAGCTTATCATGAGGCCTAGCCTCATTTATTTCAAGACCTAAACATTTAGAAGCAGATGCTCAGTTTCTATCTCTCTTCTTTCATACGAAAGAACAAATAAATATCTAATATCAGTGTAGAAAATGGAATACATACCTAAAATATTCTGATAAAATTCAAGGGATCTTTCAAGATTTTCACACAGAATCCCGACATGGTGCATCCCAACAACTCCATAATCTACATCAATGAAGATGCTTCAATTGTAATTTCACCCAAAATTGGAAAAGCATCAAATGTAGGAATATCAATTCTCAACAACAACAAAAAAAGGACCCAAAAAACAAGAACTTTCTTTAATGATTTTAAAATAGAAAAGTTAGAATATGCTCGAAAAGCCAGATGATCCATGACAGGGTTAGAATTGATCCCCATTTCATTCTCTTGAGCTCTGAATAACTCACAACCATGGCTTCCAATACAGAAAAATATATTGCAACATAACAAAACAACACTGAATTAGAGCAGAACAAGCAACCTATCTTGTCACTGGTACTAGCTGGTTCTTTGTTGAGTACATTTCCTTCAACGGAACCTGCAGCTTTTGTCTTGAAACTCAACCTTCGACATCTCCCATCTCCAGTATAAGCATGGGAAACTTTGGATAGAGTATGTGCAGATAGGGCACTTAAAATTGAACGATTCAGCTGTCAAACAGAATACAGAAATAAATAAAAGGAAAAGGGCAATTAAAAACATCGAACTCAAATTTCAGCTCAATTTGTGCGTAATTCAAGAGAAAAGCTTCGAATTTCAGATCCCCTAACCTAAGAACAAGTTCTCATATTCGGATCGAATAATAAATCCCAAAAATATTCAAAATCAGCTATCAACATAATTCTCAGCCAAATCTTAATAAACTATAAATCATTTAACCGATAAACTAATGAAGTTTACCTTGTATTGAAGAGAAATTGGTGCAGAAAGACTGAGCAGAGACGCCATGGCTAAGCTTCACTCTGCTTTGTCAATCCTTTCCCTTTATTATTTTTGTTGCTTTTGTGAACCCTCTGCAAATTCAAACCATTCATTAATCCATGGCTCAGATCTTCGGAAATGAACATAAATCTCATCCACTAGTTGAGAATTGGGGTATTTCTGCAAAAAATCAAAACAACACAGCTGAATTGTTTTTGTTTCATTTTAGCACAGTTCAAAATTTAATGTTAAATTAAAAAAAAATTAACGTTAAATTTTAAAAAAATTAAAAATTTAAATACTAAAATAGACAAAAATGATAGTTTATGCACTAAAAACGTTAAATTTTTAATAGTGGGTTACTAAAATGAAACAAAAACTAAAAGTATTATATGATTTTAAAAATTTTGATAGTTTAAGTACTAAAATGATACCTCATGTACTAAACGAGTTAATTTTTTCATGGTGAGTTACTAAAATGAAACAAAAATTAAATGTAGGATATGATTTTGAAAATTTTAATAGTTTAAATACTACAATAGGCTAAAACTAATAATTTATGTATTAAATACGTAGTTTACCCTAAAAATTATTATTTGCTCTCTATTTGATTACCGGCTAGCTTACGAGGGGTCAAACTGTTATATACATTTTTTACCTATTTAAAATTTTGTATTTTTTAAATGATTAAATTACATATTTAGTACTTAAACTATCAGTTTTAGTCTATTTTAATATCTAAACTTTTAATTTTTTCAAAATCATGCCTAACGTTTAATTTTTATTTTAGTACATGTCGTCAAAAATTTAACGTGTTTAGTACTTAAACTATCAATTTTTGTCCATTTTAGTATATAAATTCTCAATCTTTTCAAATCTTAACGTTAAATTTGGAACAGAAATACTAAAACGAAACAAAAACTAAAGTTTTTAACGGTTGGTACCAAAACGAAACAAAAACTAAACTTAAGGGATGATTTAAAAAAATTAAAAGCTTAGATATTAAAACGAATCAAAACTGATAGTTTAGGTACTAAACGTATGATTTACCCTTTTTCAATTTAATATCAAATATGATTTTTTTTAATATGGAATAATTTCCCCGTAACGAGTGCTTCTCTTCATGTGGAAAGTCAAAGTGCCGTGCTCGTTAGAAAACGAGTAACGAATTCAAAGTCATAATAATTTACTTACAACATAATTAATCATTAATATTAATCACGTGTTTTTTCATTTTGGATTAGATATATTTTGTTGAACCGAATAAGAATCATAAATTAATTAATTAATTAATTAATCACATAACAATGATTATAAGATGCTCTAATCTTATGTGACTAATTGGATTGGAACACGACAAGTGTGGGAGTTAGTACAAGGATGTTCCACTTAATCTAGTACTAGTAGTTACGAGATGGAACAATTCAAGGACTACAAGAATAAAACTGTTGCTTAATAATGAAATAGGTGATCAAACTATAGCGCTTTTTATAAATGTGTGCTTAAACCTTTTTTTAATGATTCAGATGTCTAACGTTACAAGTGTTACTATTTTAGGTGTTCGGCTCGTAAACGATGTCAATTTTTTTCTGTTAAGTGAAACGTGCCATGTTCTGGTGATTTTTAACAAATCATTTAAAATTAAAAATATATTTTAAAAAATAAAAAATTCAAAATAGCCCAAAAACTTGGAAAACCATCGTTTCAACCCCTAAACTCACGTCGACCACCACCCTTTGCCGTCGACAAAGCTCTACTCAACCTCACCTCCCTCAATAACCCCATGAAATCATGACTGGTCGGCGGCTGATCAACGACGAATCGATGTTTTGTATCTTGCGAACCCTGAACTAAAAATCACGCCCTCATGTGATTCCGACGGTAATCGGTGATAACTATGAGAATGAATGACTAAGAAGATAATAGAGACTACGTTGACGACGATGGTCGTGGCCAAAAAAGATTGATGGTGACATATTAGAGTACGAGATTTATAATTTTTAGGGATTTAAGATATTCGATAGTCAACCTTGAATATTTAAAAGATTGTTAATTTAAATTTCAACATTTTAAATGTTATTTTAATATCTAAACACACTTTTAATTTGATTTGGATTAAGAGAGATTTATTCAACCCAAACTTTAGAGTTAAAACTCACATTCAACTTGACATGTATAAATATATAAAAAAAATATTCAAAATAGAGAAATAATTGAAAAAAAATATAGGGTCATTATAACAATTATACATAATCATAAAAATATAGAGAATAATTGTATTTTTATCTTGGGTTAAAAAATTTCACCTTAAATTTGAATTCCATCCGATCTCATCATTTATAAAACTCGATTCGGCTAAATTTAAATTAAAAATAATTTTATAAAATCAACTTTCTTGGTCAAAGCTCAACATTAAGTGTGTTGTCAACTTTAATTACCATAATGATAAAATATAAATTCAAAGCTTTTGCCTTGAAGAAAAATTATGACGTCACATAAGCCAACTGTAAACCCACAAGCCAATTATGTAGTTTGATTTTTAATTTTTTATTTTATATAAAAAAGTATTATGCATATTAATTTTCCAATTAATTAAAATATTTACTTATTTATCTAATATAAAAACTATAGTAAATAAAATAGGATAAAGCCATAAAGGCCACCCAACTATAAAATAGTTTAATTTGATCCTAAAAATTTGCAAACAAGTAATTGAATTTAGGTTTCAATTTTATTTTAGTCACTAACTTAAGTTTCATTTACATTTTAATAGCCTATGATTATAGTGATACATGTTATGATTTAGTTTGAGAAAAAAATTACAACCTAGCCCCTTAGAAAAGGTTAAACTACACAATAGTACCTAAACTATTAATTCTAGTTCGTTTTAATACCTAAACTTTATTTTTTTTCAAAATCATACCTAACTTTTAGTTTTCGTTTCATTTTAGTATTCGCCGTTAAAAACTTAACGCATTTAATACATAAACTTTGTATTTAAATTATAGTTGCTTAAATTATATTAAGATAATGATCAATGAAAGGAGTTTTTGGTTGAACCTTTCAAGCTTCATATAGACTTTGTAGGACACGTAGTTTCTTTCCAACTCAAGCAAGGAATAAGGATAACCTTATCCTAATTCTTTACCCTTTTAAGTTACTCCGCTTTGCCTTCCTACTCCCTATTTCCGTTTTAACGAACCTTCGGTCCAACTTTCCTTATTCCCAAACGTGTATTCACTGCACCGAGTAGGATTAAATTATTTTTAGGGTAAACTATAAAAATAGTCCCCAAACTTTTAGGACAATTGAATTTTGGTCACCCAACTTTGAAACTTTCAATACAATCATCAAATTTTTAGTTTGTTTTCATTTTTGTCCCTATCGTTACCTCCCGTTAGTTTTTGCTGATGTGGCACTTAACCCCATTAATTTTTCTTACGTGGCAGCTTCTTATTCCTCATCCTCTTCTGTTTTTTATTCTTCTTCCTTCTTCTTCTTTAAAGCAATCATCTTCAGCTTCAAAACCCGATTCCAAAATCGACCCAATATGCAGGAATAATGGACGAACCGCTGACAAAGACGGATATGGTCGTGGCATCAATCGCAACCCTAATTGATGCACAATGCGTAGAGGCTACTGAAGCCATGGGAGTCAAACGTGAACATTTGGCCTCAGTAATCAGCTCTGCCGTCAATGTACGGACCGCCGAAGATATAACGACATTAAACGCTGGCGCCACCACATGTATACAATGATAAACCTTAATCCAATGAAATATTTAGTGTTATTTTATCATTGAATATATCTTTGGGTTTCGATGTTTAGCATTAAGAGGGGTTGTCATATTGAAAGCAAGGGTGTTGAAGGAAGCATGGAACATAACAACTGTTATTTCGGTGGAGAAAGACGGTAGCAATGGAAATAACGGTGGCTCTAATGGAGGCTTTAGCGAATAGCTTCTTCCCGATGAGAATTTACTGGGGATTTGCAGTAGAGAATTGCTTGCTAAAGTTTATGTTTCTCAAACGCAAAAGAAAAAAAGTCTTTTTTATCCATGCATTAATTTCATATTTCTGGAGGACAGAGAGAACTGGAGATACTTCGGGTTAAAGACGGCGATACGCGGGGTCGTGGAGTTTGAGTGCAAGAACAAGAAGGAACATGATGTTTGGGCTCAGGGTGTGTCGAGGCTGCTCACCATAGCTGCAGATAAGAACAACATATAATAGAGTTTGAAAGATCAAATGTGTAATGTTGTGATATTTTGAATGGCTTTTTGTGGGTGTTTTTGTGCAATATTTTTGAACTAGAAAAAAGAAGTATAAAATGTTCTATGGATATTGTAATCGAAATTAATGTGATCCAAAGTTGATGTTGTTGGTATTTTGGAGTGATGGAATGGTCAAAAAGATGATTGCTTTGAAGAAGAATAAGAAGGAATGAAGAAAAAGAAAAAGTAGAAGAGGAGGAAGAAAAAGAAGCTGCCACGTCAGAAAAGTTAACGGGGTTAATTGCCACATCACCAAAAACTAGCGGGAGATAACGATAGAGATCAAAATGAAAACAATCTACAAGTTTGATGATTGTATTGCAAGTTAGGTGACCAAATGCAAGATCCCTAAAAGTTTTGTAACTATTTTTATAGTTTACCCTTATTTTTAATAGAATAAAATAAACCGCACATGAACAAAAGAAAGTCAAATCAGCGTCAAACGCCACCGCGTTCACACTTTCCCTCCCCCACGCGCTTCCCCTTTACCTCTAACCGTGTCCCCTGATGCGTACATAAAGAAAACTAAGTGATCTTCGTTTCACATCTCCGGTTTCACAGCTTTCAAATCTCTTGCTCTTTTCACATTTGGTCAATTCAAATTCGGTCAAAAGAAAAACCCAGATCTTGTGTTTGTTTTCATGGAAATCGGGTCTTTCGCATTGCTTTCTCCAGAAGATTTATGTTTTAATTTCAACAATAACAGCGGCAGGGGCGATTTCTCGTGTTTTCTGGATATGGAAAGTGGGTTCAACGGGAACTACAACAAGAAGAGGAGTAGACAGGATATTGATGAATCTGTAGTGAACGAGAAGAGTGGGTTTGGTGATATACTTTCTTCCATTTTGATGTTGGGTGAGGAAGCAAAGCAAGAGCAGGAGCAAGAACAGCAGCTTCAATGGTTTGCTGATTCCGATCAACAAACAGCGTTCTTCGATCGCAGTTATGATGAAAAAGTTGAAGAAATGAATGGGTTTTTTGATCAATTCGAGAACCAGTATTCTGAAATGAACCAGCTGGATGATTCCAGAAACAAACGGCCGCGTAATTCGGGTTTAGCTGCCGTTGCTGCGACGGCGAAGATGGTTTCAGTCGGGTCGGGCAATGTGAGCCCGTCGCAACCGGGTACCGGAACCGGCCAGCAAAGGCGGTTATGGGTGAAGGACCGATCAAAGGACTGGTGGGATAAGTGTAGCCACCCGGATTTCCCCGACGAGGAGTTCAAACGCGCGTTTCGGATGAGCAAAGCCACGTTCAACATGGTCTGCGAGGAGCTTGAACCAGCGGTGATGAAAAAAAACACGATGCTCCGCGATGCAATCCCGGTTCGTCAGCGCGTGGCGGTTTGCATCTGGCGGCTAGCCACCGGTGAACCGCTCCGGATGGTATCGAAACGGTTCGGGTTGGGGATCTCGACTTGTCATAAGCTGGTATTGGAGGTCTGCGCCGCCATAAAAACCGTTTTGATGCCCAAATTCGTTCAATGGCCCGACGAAAACAAGACGAAGAGAATCAAACAAGAATTCGAATCCGCCACCGGAATCCCAAACGTCGGCGGATCGATGTACACGACACACATCCCCATCATCGCACCGAAAGGAAACGTCGCGGCGTACTTCAACAAAAAACACACGGAGAGGAACCAAAAAACTTCGTACTCAATCACCCTCCAAGGCGTCGTCGATCAAACCGGAGCTTTCATCGACGTATGCATCGGCTGGCCCGGTTCGATGTCCGATGACCAAGTTCTAGAGAAATCAGCATTTTACCAAAGAGCCACAAGGGGCCATTTGAAGGACGTTTGGGTGGCGGGGAACAAAGGGTACCCATTAATGGACTGGGTTTTGGTCCCATACACTCACCAAAACCTCACCTGGGGTAAACACGCCTTCAACGAGAAGATCGGAGAAATCGAAAAGGTGGCCAAGGACGCTTTCGCGAGGCTGAAAGGACGATGGTCCTGCTTGCAAAAGAGAACCGAGGTGAAGCTTCAAGAGTTGCCGATCGTGCTCGGTGCTTGCTGCGTTTTGCATAATATCTGCGAGATGAGGAACGAGACGATGGATCCCGAGCTCAAATTCGAGCTTTTCGACGACGAGGTGGTACCGGAAAATAAAGTAAGGTCCATGGCTGCCGCACAAGCCAGGGATCACATCGCTCACAATTTGTTGCACCATGCTGGCCGTGCCAAAGCCGCTGGTTTTTTATAACCTCTGGTTTTTTGTATTATCATTGGTTAGTGTTTTTGATTTAGGAATCTTTGCTTGTAATTCTTTTGGGGTATGGCAATAAAGATTGTAATTGTTTAGTAATTTTTTTCCCACAAACAATGATAAAATTATAATAAGCATTTTTATTATAAAATTAATATTTTAAAAAAAAAATCTAATTTTTTTTATAGAAAAAAAAAACGCTCTGTATTGATCTAGAATTCATGATCTAAGGGAACATGATTAAACAAAAACGGAAAATTTGACTAACTGACCAAATGTGTTTGCTCATTATAAACTTAAGAATAATAAATAAAAAATAAAATAATTATGATTAGTTTTAATTTTATGGGTAAATTATGTGTTTAGTACCTAAACTTTTAATTTTTTTTCAAAATCACACTTACTCTTTATTCTTTATTTCATTTTAGTATCATACCGTTAAAAACTTACGAACATGCTCATCGGCCACTGCATCTATAGTCGTCGATCGTCACATCCATCGGCCGATGAAGTTCAAACTTTCTAGCACGCACCTTTTCAACCCCTGAACGATGAACTCTTCGACTTCTTCATCCTCCAATCTTATTCGTCAACCGTCTGATGGGCATGAAATTGGATTATGTTGGTCAATTTGTCAATCTCTCGTGGTCCACCGTTCGGATTGGTCGTCCGTCCACCGAAGCTATGCCCCTGTCAGCATGTATGTTAAGTTTTTAATGGCATGTACTAAAATGAAATAAAAACTAAACATTAGGTATGATTTTGAAAAGAAAAAAAAAATATTTTGATACTCAAACATACCCAAATTAATAGTTTATGTACTAAATGTATAATTCACCCTAATCTTATTTATGAAAAAAGTAATCTATATGTAAAAAATAAACACCAACATAAGCCTCAATAGCTGAGCTGAGCTTAAGCTTAAGCTAATCTGATAAACTTGTCATGTTCTTATTTGTTTATGAGAAATAATAGCTTTGGCTCATGAGGATGATTATTTAATAATTGAGGACTCATATTCGATTCTCCTAATCAATTATTTCTTACATCGCAATTACATGATTATTTAGCTAATTAATTAACATCAAAATAGCTTTATTGATTAATAACCTTGTAATTTATCTTAATTAATTTATTTTTTACCAATTATTTTCCTCTTTTATGATTGCAATACTGTATCCATTAATTTGCACTTGTAAAAGTACTTTATTAGTTGAGTTAATATATTATCATTCACTTATTTAAAAATAAATATTTAAATTATATACCTTTTATTTAAGTATTTTTTTGAATTAATCATTAGTATACGATCTATTGACCGACTAATCTAGATCGAGTATTTATTGAGCGAGTCGAGTTAAGCAATGTTTGACTAGTGCTCTATGCATGTCACGTTGGAGAAGACTTTCCAAAAAAAGTTTAGGTCATGACGACTCTCCCAATTCAAAGCTAGGGTATATCTAAGACTCAATTGAGATTTACATAATAATTTACAAATTGTCCACCAAGAGTGACGGTGCTAAGATTCGAATTTAGCTTTACAAGCTCAAATACTTGAATCTCAACTACTTATACCGACGGTCGCTATCTTATTTTTAACTATAAGTAAAATCGACTAATACTATATAGAGCTTAATATAAACACAAATTGATAAATTTTACAAAAGAGTGTACGAAACAAAGTTAAAGTCTAAACTCATAAATAGAAACCCACAAATACATTAAATTATGTAATAATTTAGTGTTTTTATTAGAAAGTTCATATATTAGTCATTTATCATCTATTAGTAAATTAATGAATTTTTAATGAAATAATTTTTTAAAGATAATTTGTAACAAATTAACGACCTGCTCACAAACTTATTAAATCAAATTAGATCTTACTCTACTCAGCTCGTTAAAGTCTTGAGTCGAGTTTGAGTCGAATAAACCTAAATCAAACTTTTATTAAGTTTTGACCGAATCGAGTTTAAACTGCTCATGAAGTGCTCAACTCATTAATCATCCCTAACCATCATTAGTTGAATGTCGAAATAAAAGTAAAGTACATATACTAAAATTTACGACAAAAACAAGTTAATATATTAGGGCAGACAAAAAAAATATTAAGTACCCATTTATATATAGTCAAACTCAGATATAAATATGGATAGCAATATACAAGTATCGAATTTTCCTAAAAAATATAAGTACCGATTTGAATACTAATTCTAAGTTTAGGTATCAAATAATGTATTAATCCTTATTGATTTATCTAACAAAGATAAATGTGATTCGTACGAAGGGATGGGCATGGGACCCGAACTCTACCCGATCGAGTTGGATTTTTAAATAAAAAAATCGAGTTCGGGTCGGTTTTTTAAAATGTGATGTTAGGTCGGGTTCGGGTTTAGGGTAAAAATACCCGACCCGACCCGAAAAAATATATAATTTTACTATATATATTTAGGAATAATTACAATAATGCCCCTCTATATATTATTTTTTTTAATTAAATCACTGTTTTTATTGAATAAAAATATTTTTTTATTATTTAAAGTCGGGTCGAATTTTTAAGTTATATATCGAGTCGGGTCTCGGGTGGATGACTCATTGTTCTCAGATCAGGTCGGGTAGACAAAAAACCTGACCCATACCGATCCCTATTCGTACACACTTATTAGTTTTATTTTCGTTTAATCAATTCGCTTATTGACATTTGTCAACTAAAAAAAAGGACATTGAGAATTATACTATGACTTAAGGATTAATATGAGACTTGTCTATTTGGCATGTCAATGTGAGATTGATTAATGATTTGAGGGAACGACTCTTTGCGCATGTGACATGACTTTAAAATGAGTTAAAAAGGAGGTATAAATATTAAGGAAAAGACTGACTTGTATAAGAAGAATTTTATACAAGTACCGCACGAATTAGTGTCAAGTGTCGAGACGTTATGTCTGTAACACTTGATATTAGAGTAAAATGATCGGAGACAGTCGGATTGGGTCTAGGGATGGTAATTTAACCCGAATTTGACGGGTTCTGACCTGACCCGACTTGATCGGGTCGGATTTTTTTTAAAAAAAATTCGGGTTCGGGTCGGGTCGGGTTTTTTTAAATGTACTGTTCGGGTCGGGTCGGGTTTAGGGTGAAAAAAAAACCGACCCGACCCGACCCGACCCAAAAAATATATATAATTTTATCCTATATATTTAGGGATAATTACAATAATGTCCCTCCATATATAATTTTTTTCAATTAAGTCACTGTTTTCATTGAATAAATTTTTTTTATTATTATTTCGGGTCGGGTCGGGTCGGGTTTCTAAGTCATATATTCGGGTCGGGTCGGGTGAAACTTTAATTTCGTCGGGTCGGGTCGGGTCACGGGTGAAAAAATCCTTTCTTCTCGGGTCGGGTCGGGTACCATCCCTAATTGGGTCTCATGTTCTTTTGGGTGCTCCCCTATTTTCTCAGCAATTATTTGTAATTTTATAATAAATAAAAGTCTAAATGTTTTCTTTAATTAAAACGAATTTAAGAGATTGTTTGATAAAATAAAATGATTAAGCGCTGAATGATTTAATGACTCTGTATGAATTGACTATGAATGTGACATGTTGTTTGATAGTGGTTCTGAATGTACAATCCGAATTATGAATATTTTCATTTTTACCTTCATAATGATTTATTATATTATAAGATATGATTGTTTAATACTACAACATGTGAAAAAAATAGGTATTATGATAAAATACCGGGTGCTTAATGATTCAGAATGTACTTTAATGCTGAATCATTCAGCAGTGTTTTGCTGTTTCATTCAGCATAGTATTCATTCAGAGGTGAGAATCAAACACGCTGAATGCTGAACCGTTCAGCATTCAACGCTGAATTATTCTATTCAACAGTAAACAAATGACCCCTAAATAACTGATTTATTAATTGATTAATTTGGATCGAATATTGTAGAAGCAAAGGTGTCCCTCCCAATTTAGTTTGCTTCATTCTCAATCGTCATGATTCGAACCCCTGACTTTACTTAAAGGATCTAATGTCTCATCTCACTAGACCATCTGATTATCGGTATAAATTCAATATATTTAAATTAACTAAAGATAATAATAATTTTAATATTTAAGACACTAGTCAATAAAATAATCCAATTAAGTTTTTTCACAAAAAAAAAGGGACATGGCCACGAGGTACAAGCTGTCTTAGGTTAGGAGCCGGCTCAACATATTTATATTACCAAAAAGTCCCCATTCCGATACTCGACACTTCTGCACTCGAAGGAGAACGAACCATGGGCAAATTAGTCATTTAACCGAGCCAGATTTCATTGCCGATCAAAACACAGGCTCGCTTTCGACCTCCATGGCCATGTACGAACTTTCCACTTTCAGTTTCGAGCTTCGAATCAAACACGTAAACCGAATTTCTTGCCCGTATTTAAGGAATCTAATTACCTCGCTAAATTAATTGCGGCCTCCTCGATCACCTCTTCTCTATCGATTCACCGAAGGTAGTTTCTTACTTACATTATTGATTACGAGCTTTAGGGTTTTCAATCCTTTGTTCATTTGATTTGCTTTTGTTTTGTAATTTTCGTTTTGATTTGATTGTTAAGAGGTTTTCTGAGAATTTATGTTGATATTTTATTTTTTTTGTCAATTGTTGAGGATGGACGAATGAAGTATGATTTAGATGTATAATCCAGGAATTATAGGATAAGTTGGTGATTTTTAAGCTTAGACTGCCTTTACTGTGTTAAATACAGCATTTCATTTGATGAAGCTCTATTATGTTGATTAGTAAAAAAACAATGCAGCAATATTGAGGAATTTAACTGAGATGATATTTTGTTTTGTCTTGTTGTTGTCTGAACCAATCTCTGCTTGAATTTAATTGAAGTAAGGAAAGTTAAGTTGAAGGCAATTATATGTATCCTTGTCTCATGGTTAAAATTTAAAAATGTGAGGAACAGAAGAGCAATGTTGATTAGGAAATAATTAAAATGGGAGCGCG